TTATATTTTCGTCTTTTCATTCAACTAATACACCAAAAAAAAATCCACCAAATTTTTTCATTCCTTTTCTTTTCTTTTTTCTTTTCGTTTGAAACTGATTACTTATTAGTGCTCTTTACTAGCGCTTCTAATTGTATTGATAGTGCTGCTGCTGATACTGCCATTGGTTGGTGGCACCGATGTTGTGGCGGTATTGGTGTTAGCGTTGGTAATGACGATGACAATGATGATGATGATGATGACAATGATGATGATGATGATGATGATGATGATGATGATGATGAGACTGATGATGATGATGATGATGATGATGATGATGATGATGCTATGATGACAACCGCTGTGGTGGGATGCCGGTATTGCTTTAGACTAAATATAGCTAAGTAAAAAAGAAATAGGCTAAAAGCAAAACCGAGAACAGTTGGCATCAAGGCGGCAATAACAGCACAAGCATCATCTTTACCATCATCTTCATCATCATCTCATCGTCAAGAGCAGCAACAATTTCAGCAACAGCAACGACAGTAGTATCAAAACAAGGACTAGTTTTAGCAGTTGTTGCCCAAAATCAATAAGAGACAAAGATGGTGGTCGAGAAAAGGAAGGGATACGAACCAAAAATAAAGAATTGAGAAAAAACTATCCAAAAAAATTTTTGTCAAATTATATACGTAACTGAAAAAATTAGGAAACGTAAACACGCAAAAACAAAAACTGTTGAAACTGAACGTTGTTGCATTTTCAACGTTTACAGTTTACAATAACCTTAACAATAAATTGGGTTTAGCAACAGAAAAAAAAAAAAAGAAGTGTTTCTTTCACATTTATTAATTCAACAAAAAAAAATCTAATTTTATGAAACGGAATTGAAAGTGAGAAAGAAGGAGGAAGAAAGGGAAAAGGAGAGATTGAAACTTTTTAAATTTTTAATAACTTTTTTCTCCTTTGCTCCAATTGTTGCTACATTAACCTATTAAATGTAATAACACATTTTTCAGCTGTAGAAAAAACATGAAAAA